GTACACATAGTGCTCACCCGGATATGAGTGAACCCGTACGACTGGATCACTTCATCAAACCGAATATTCCAAGACCTAGAAGTTTGTTTCAGTCCATAAATGGACCGATTTAGCTTGCACACAAGATGCTATATGAATGTCTTCCTGAAGACTTCCATTGAGGAAAGTCGTCTTGACATCCATTTGCCAAATCTCATAATTTATATAAGCGGCTACATCTAATAGAATCCAAATACATTTGAGCATAATTACTGGCGAGAAGGTTTCCTCATAATATTTCCTCTTTCTAAGTATACTCATTCGCAACAAGCCTAGCTTTGAAGGTTTTCACCTTCCCATCTGATCCCCTCTTTCTCTTCTAAACCCACTTACACCCAATAGGCCATACCTCATCAGGTAGTTCTATAAGATCCCAAACCTAATTGTAGTCCATTAGATCTATCTTAATATTCATTGCATTTTGCCATGATACTGCATCCTTGTCCTGGAGTATCTTATTAAACGTCCAATGGTCTAATTCTAGTTCACTCGAGACTAAGTCCGAAGACTCTCTAAGGAACATGAATTGATCAAGCTGCCTAACAACCCTCCCACTGCGACGAGGTACTGTCTACACATGTACATGATCAGTGTTTCATGTTGCAGTAGTGTATGGTGTATCTACGTGCGCACTCGGTAAGGGACTTGTATTTTCTCCCTTAAGTTCTTCTAAGACAAGTCTACTTGCAGGTTTATGGTTCATAATATAGTCTTTTTCCAAGAATCTAGCGCTCGTGCTAAAGATCACCTTCTGATACTCAAGACTATATAATAAACCTCCTTTCGTTACGGTTATCCAACTTGTCAGTGTCTTGCAGTAGCACATGTGCTAGACTACCCCCAAACTCGAATGTGTGATAGACCCAAATGCCGAGTCATCATGTCAGAAAGAATGTGCAAATTTAGAAAGTGAGCATGACAATGTTAACATTAATTTTTTTACATAAGCTTGAAATGTCCCAAAATCTAATGCAATGGAGGATAAATTATTCATACTTTCTATCTTGATGAGGTGGATAACTTTTACTCTTTCCAAAGAATGCATTAGAGATGCTCTTACTAGTTTGTTATTAAGTGGCAAAATGAGCAATGGAAAAGGCATGCAGAAAGTTTTAACTAATTTTATCTCCCTCGTCTCTCTCTCTTCCTCTCTGAATCCTCTCTATCCAATTACAAGTAACTCTTTAGAGCTTAAGATTAGACTATGCTTGGTAAAACTTGTTGATAACTAACTTATAGCTTATTAGTAACTTTGGAGCTTATAGCTTATAGTTTATGGCTTATAACTAAGAAACTAATAAAAATGTTATTAAATTAACTGATAAACTAGCTGAAATAAAAATTTCAACGAGCTTATTTGATAAGCCACTCAAGGAAGCTTATGAGATAAGTTCGAACATTTAAAAAAAAAAAATCGTACGTACTATCAAATGAAACTTATTTGAATACAAGAAACTTATAAATTAACCAAATAAACTATAAATTAGTTTATTTGTCTACGAAACATAGCCTTAGTCTCTAGAGCGAGATCTGCAAAATTCCATGAAAAATTATAAAAAAAAATGCAAATCACTTTAGATCTTAACAGAAAGCTCCGTAATAAGGCATAGTTGAAAGCCAAAAAGCAACGAGAAGTATCCAGTCCATACCACGTCAAACATGTTAAAGCCTTATAAGTTGTTCGAATCGAACTCAGGAAAATAATTTCACAGCAAATCAACCTCTAGCAGCATAAAAAAAGTTGTCAATACATACATGACCAATTACATGAACGGTAAACAATCTATACTCGCTTCTTTGATTTCTTCACAGGAGGCTTGGGAGATATTTCATCATCATCTTCCGAAGATATTTCCTCTGGTTCATCAGGAACATCATTTGGGATGTTATGCTCAGTGATGAAATCCTTGAAAAAGCTCATGCTTTGCTCCTTGACTGCACTTAATTGCTCAGAGATAAGGCCGTTGTTTGCCTGAGCCAAGTATGTCTCTGGTCCAAGGTGAATGATGGCTCTCACACGAGAGTTCACGTTTAGAGGTTGACCTTCCATCTTTCAAGTCTTAGACAATCTGCAACAGTAAAACTTACTCATGTAAAGCATTGTACTTCTCAGATTTTTAAGTTCCCATACTTTGAAAAATGTATTTTGGCCACCTATGACATAGTACCATACAGTAGCATAACAATCTTAACCTTCAGTATATATGCATGCAGGAGCACAATTTTTCCTAAAAGAAGGTTTGAATTATTCTTTAGAGTGCAGCATAAAAATTATGTTGGAATAATATTCCGAAGATACCATAAACTTTCTACCCCATAGAATATTGTTGCACTACAGAACTGTGCCTTTAAAGATGATACACCAGAATATAATGCATGGGAAAATAATATGAAAATCAACTGTATCAAGCTATATATTTAAAAGAATAATACACTACAGCGGAAGCTTACCCAAAATAATTCTTGCTAAAACTAGCAATTCTAAATTGATAAAGAGAAAAATTAGAAAGCAAGCAGGCCAAAAGATTCATAGCACATCTGAAAAGCTAGTCAATATCCACACAGTTAGTTACATATCAGAAAAATTTTCAAAAACGTAGGGTGAGCCAAAATGACGCAGTAGGCAACTGGGATCAGGAAGCAATGTTTTTGAAAACAACATGACAATGTATCGGAGCAAGCACTTGATGTGCAAAATGGATTCATGGAAGGACTTGAGATCACATGCAAATCATAACAAATTAATCAAACGTCAAGTTCGCAAACCAAAACACATACAAACAGACTCTAATGCGAAACACTCAGTTCTACGAAAACGAAAGACACTAGTGGTGGCTCCAACACGTAGTACTTAGTTCCTGGACCCATGTGAAACTATACCGCGCATCGTTCCAGTTCATATTATGTATCGCCAAATATTGATTGGATACCGTTTCTTACATTCCTACTCAATAAAAAGGTGGTACGTAGTGTCAGAATCAGCCGAAGCTCTTCTTTCAACCTTATGACATCATATTCTAGAATAAACCAAAAACTACGACTCATTCCAGCCAAATGACTCCAATCCCAATAGGATATGATACTAGACCATGCATACCCCGACCAAATCTATGCAACCCAATGAAATATAGAAGACGCCAAGATGACCCTATCAAAATCAAGTATATAATTCTCGTGGATAATGCAAGTTCAAATATGAACTATAGAGCATAAGAAGCATGTCGTTGAGGATTTAAATGCATGCTTATGAAACAATACATAGTTCCTCATAGAATTAGTAACTTCATAAAAATTTTACCCACATTGAAATGAATCAGAAAGAGATAGCTAATGGAACGAGTCATGCTCGTTCAAACAATCCAACAACTTTTGCGTAGCTTTCGTCTTTCCACCACAGCTTATTCAATTGAATCAATATTGAGCTAAATCATGATCAAGATAAATACACAGAACTGCGTTTTAGACTTCAAACAAGGATGAGTATGTTAAAAGGGTGAAAATAGGTAAAAACTGAACAACTTTGCTGCTGCGAACTTGACAGCAAACAGCCAGGCGTAATGTTCAGATTTTAAAAAATAACTTCATTTAGAAAAACAAGTGAGGGGTAATTGATCCAATAAATGCCAAGATATTTATCTAAACCTCTTGTTTAGACTTCAAACACGGATGAATGTGTTCAAAGGGTGAAAATGGTACAAAACTCACCAACAATACTGCAGCATGAAGCATAACTTTTAATAGAAAATTGGTATTGAACTAATTATTCTTTGTACGAAATGTCAAGGGAATATTTACGACTTTGGTGAAGACTTAGAAAGGAAAATAGTATCTTACAAAAGTGAACTGAAAAATGACAGAAAACCAGATGCTACGCTGCTGCGGAACTGGACAGCTTCCGTCCCAGTCTTTGTACTTAAAACCTAATATTGAGTCAAAAATGAATAATCATGTAATTGTTTCACCTACACAAACAGAAAAGACTAAGCTACAAGTTCTGTGAAGACAATAAAAACAGATAGATAGGGTACGAGAGTCAAAACAGCATAAAACCAGATAGATGATGCGTAGCTAGACACATGGACAACATTTTAAAATATAACAATTAAGTCCCAACTCCCAAAACATTACCCAATTTTTAAACGGTCGCCCATAAGCTTTTGGACACTATCATATCAGCCCCAAATCTGTTACGGTCAACTAGGAACCCGTACAAATATCTGATTACCCACAACCTCTTCTGAGTAAGAGCTTACTCAAGCTGAATCACACATACAACACATGCCCACATACAACCAGCACAGTTCAAGCAAACACATACCCACAGCCCACACACCTCACACAACTGAAATCAAAATTCAAAAAAGTCGGCTTTGGTTGCATGCAAATAGATTAATCAAGAGAAAATGACAACAATACTCAGGAAATCTATAACCAGCTGATTGAGCAGATTATGAATCAAATGAAACATACAACATAAAATCCACCAGGCAAGTACTAAGAGTTTGATTAGCCAAAAAAACAGCTCATCTTTTTTTCTAACTAATTATGAACTTAGTAAAAGTTTGATTAGCCAAAAAAACAGCTCATCTTTTTTTCTAACTAATGATGAACTCTAAGAAATTTCTATCCAACACGCAGACACACCCAGACACCAAGCAAAGTGGACTGGAATACAAAAATCAATTTTAATTGACAGTTGAACACCATAAAAAAGTTGTTTGGGCGTCAGATTCTTAATCTTTCAAGCTAACAAAATATTGATTTCAAGATAACAAAATATCGATTTCAATCCATAACAAAGTTATTTCGGCATCCGAACCCTAAATATATCAAGCTGTCAAAAGATATTTCCGTAGGAAATATGAGACATTTATCTGCAAAAACTATTGTAGTAACAGGCAACTACCGAAAACAATAGAGGAAAGAAAGTATCGATAAATTCGATACTAACCTGGTAGGAAATGTGGCTGCTGCTGAGTGGCCCGTTTAAACGGCTTGAACTGTTTAGGAGTGAACGACTGAACTATACATAGTGTAAAATTCACAAAAACATCTGCAGCCCCAGTGAATTTTTGTTTTATTAGATTTACACATGGCCAAACTGCCCAGGCCTTCCGGAGTCTGACAGCCGAGTCAACAAGTTTATTGAACCGCCCGGTAAAAAGCATCAGAAGCATTCATAAAAGAGAAATTTACATGCTTCGGTTAAGTTTGGCCTAATTAACTGTTAAGTGCAGTTAATTATATATTTAATTCCGATATTGGTGGAAATTTAAAAAATGAGCAAATCATCAATTCTTTCTCCATATCTAGGTTATAGTGTGGACAATTCATCTCTCCCCAGAAAGAATGTATATTCTCGCGTAAGTTTTTTTTTCTCTATTAGGCAAACCAGGTTAGAGGTTTTCAATTTAGGGCTTTTCTCTCCTTCAATTTTCTCTCAATCTCTCAGGCAAATGCTCGTAATCTACCAAATTCTGATGACCCCACGAAGATTGACGAGGAAATCAGCTTCAATTGTTTTGTCTTCGTTGGATTCCTCTTCGCCGCCGGTCGAGAAGTCCCGCCGAGTTCCTTCATCGTCGACCGCAGTGACTCATCTTCTGCCGCCGCCTGGTCAATTTTCGCTGCGACCGTCTTTCCATGGTGATGAAGAATCTCTGCCGGCGAGGTACACTCCGGCTTTTCCAGTCTCCGCTCGCGGCCCGATCTCCCTGTGATGACAGCGTGCCTCCGCTGTTGCATCCACCTTTCACAATCGCCGCCTCGTCAGTCAAGACAGCCAATTCTGCTGGCCTCAGCCTCCAGTGGTTCGACCACCAAGTGGCTGCATCGCCATCCATCTGGAATCGTGCACAGGCAATCCTCTGTGCGTCGGTGCAGAATAGCAGATCGAATATCCTCTCTAACTTCCGGATCTACTCAGCGGTAGCCGCGGGGCCCTCGGCTCCCGTAAAAGTTGGTGGGCTCAAACGCTGAAACTTCATCACCATTTCAGCATGATCATTAGCCTGGTTACGAACAGGCTGTCGGGGTGGGGGCGTCGGCTGACGCGGAGGAGTTGGCTGACGAGGGGGAGCCTGCTGACGCGGGGGAGTTTGCTGACGGTTGCGGGTACGGGCCATAATTCTACAACATATAATTCAGGCATTTAGCACGAGACTAAGGTCTCTAAAGTTCAACATGTTTCAAAACAGGTGGATAAATTCCTAAGCCCCAATTTCATTTCAGTAATCAATAACCAGTCAATGCACAATAATCTTAAATCATTCAGGTATCCATACCTGAGCTAGCGCGGCACGACGAGAGCGAGTGGTCATAATATGAGGTCAAAGCATGTAATCACATAATTCATGTTAACTAGTCTACAGAAACGCAGACTGGCTCTGATACCAAAATGTAACGCCCCACTTTTATTTGCCGAAATTCAGAATAAATTTTTCAAAATTTATTTCAATACACTTGAGGCGCTACTCATTTTCCAAATGCAATTCCAATAATATTACATATGCAATTCCCAACGAGTTCAAAATTCATGAATAGTCAACACCCAACCGGGTTTAATAATCATAAATAGTTAACACCCAACCAGGTTCAATAATCATAAATAGTCAACACCCAACCCGGGTTCATCAAATCCATAAATACTAGGGAGTACACTCCCTATCAATAATCCATTTAAGTCAGGAATGCATAATTCATAATAAGCAATTTAAGCAGCGGAAATAAGCGATAACATGACCACCACTCGCTTCCCTCTGTCGTGCCCGCAACATCAACCTGCATCCGTGAAGAGCAGGTGGGGATGGGCACAATAGGAAAAACGAGGTGCTCACCACTATGCAATAATTAATATTCAATTTCATAAACTAAGCAGGTATGGTCGTAGTATAAACACAAATCAATTAATATCCCATCTCCTATCCCAGAGTCAACTCTCATGTGCACACCTATACCAATAGACCAATGCTGATACACGTATCGAAATCCCTCGCGGGCCTTACATTCGATGCCCAGACAGTGGGAGTAAATCCACTTCGAATGCCCGGAACCTAGCCTTCGTACTTACATCGAGGATCACCAGCCAAGGCACACGCCCTGACTGCCCATACATAAATAAAGGAGACTACCCATCGGGTACGTTCTATAGCTACGGGGATAACTGTTCAACGGCCAATGTAGCTCACATCGAAGGCTACATGGTTCACATGCATACTTTGATCATACCACAAAAATAACAATTAATTAATGTATAGAAATTTTCAAATAAAACCCACCTAGATATAGCAAGAGGTATAGCCAAATGTTGATATCCGAGTCCGGACCCAACATAGGTACCGGTCCGAGCCGAAGGAGCCGGTCACCAAAACCGCACGTGGGTGCCGAGCTGAATGAGAGTCAAAGTCGTCTGGAATGGCGGGGGAAACAAGTCCCGAGATCGGCACCACACCCATGTGGCTACGAGGTCGGCTCCTGATAGAAGTACGACGTCGAATTCAATAAAATAATGCCACTTGTCTACGAATGATTGCCGATGGGACGTCCAACTCAGCCAGAACGTGTCCGCATTTAATGCAGCCCACGTTCGCATTAAATGCATGGCAGGTAATGATTGGAGAATCCGAAAATCACTCCCAATCAGTCAGAGAAGCGCCGGCTTGTCCCATTGAGCTACTGTACGATAAGATCGTTGAACAGTACCCAAACAGTGCCGCATTAAAGTCCCCTATAAATAGCAACCCCCTCATTTATTTTTAGGTTGTTGAAACTCAACTACTCGAGCTCATATTTTCTCTCTCTAAAAGACTTGTAAGAAACTCTTGTAAGCAATATAAGTATATCACAAGTGCCGACCTCGTACGAGAGGCCGACCTCGTGACCCGTTAATAAAATCGTAATTAAACCGTATTTCTTCGTCTTTTTCTCATTATTCTTTCTATTACTTGACTTTTTAACCGTTGACCGGAAACGTCCGTCAACAGTTTGGCGCTAGAGGAAGGGCACCATAAGTTACTTGGTGTCAATTTTTCGATCTTGTGAAGCTACACACATCGCACTCATCTTTTTTCACCTTTTCATTTCTAAAAACCACTAAAAATGCCTTCATCCGGACATGACGACTCCACCCAGCAGTCCGGCTCCCAGCCTCGCCGCCGCAACGGCGGGGAGTCCTCCCGTCGCGTTCAGCAGGGACCTATCGTCCCCGTACCCCCAGTTCCAACTTTCGCTACGGCTTTGCAGCACCCCGACGTCCTCAAAGCCCTTGAGGGGGTCTTCGCCAAGGCCCTCGCCAGTCAAACCGCCGGGGCGAACACCGTGGTGCCCACGGAGAACCCCGGCAACACTTTACTCCACACTCCTGAAAAGGAGACCGGTGGACAGAGAAACCCAGCAAAATCCAAAACCACGGCTCAATCGCCGAACCGCGAGGCTCAGAACCGTCGCGACAAGAGTACCAGACCGGCTCCCACAGAGCAGACGGGGGAGAGCCGGCCAGAGCGAAGCCTCCCGGTCGTCCGTCGCTCTGTCCACCAACGCTTGGGAGACAAGAGCCACGCCAATCACGATCTCCGGGAGGTGATCAGACGAGGCAAAGCCATCGGCCATGACACTGAGGAAGTCGCGGCCCTCAAACGCAGGGTTGCCGAATTGGAAGGTCGGCAGCTCACCGGGAGCGAGTTTTCACTCCCAGGTCATCAACAAACCCACACGCGACCGACCCCTCGGGTCGCGGATAACGCCTCACCCCTCTCCCTCGATATCCTGCAGGAGGCCGTCCCGAAGGGAATACAAATACCCCAGCTCGGCCTCTACGACGGGAGCTCGGATCCCGACTCGCACCTCGGCCTTTACACCTCATGGACGGACCTTCACGGCGCCTCCGATGCCCTGCGCTGCCGTGTGTTCTCTTTGACGCTGGGGCCCAAGGCGCAGAGGTGGTACCATTCCCTTTATCCCCGCTCCATCTCAACCTGGGCCCAGCTCAGGTCGGCGTTCCGATCTCATTTCATCGGGTCGCAGGTTAATCTCGCCCCCAAAGAATCAATCTCCAACATCGTACAGGGCGAGAATGAAAGTCTGAAGGACTATATTGCCCGATTCAATGACCGGGTCCAAAACATGGAGCAGTGCCACCCCGACGCCCTGCTCATCACAGCCCAGGGCGGCCTCAGACCAAAGACGCTGTTTAGATGGTCCCTGTGCCAGAACAAACCGACCACCTACCAGGAGTTCCTCACCCGCGCGCAGGATTATATCATGGCGGAGGAATCCTTATCAATCCCGACCTTCGACGCCGCACCGGCACCGGCACCGGCAAAGGCGAAGGCAAAGGAGGAAAAATCGGGGAAGCCGAGCAAGTCCTTTGCTGAGATTCGAGCTCAGCAGAAGCAAAGGGCCGAGGAGCTGAGGGAGAGCTACCAGGGCGTCTTCTCGCCGGGGGCCGCGGCGGTCTACGAGGAGATCAAGGCCAAGGGGCTACTGCCGAACCCTAAGCCGATGTTCACTGACAAAGACAAGGTGGATAAAACCCGCTACTGCTCTTACCATAAGGCGCATGGACACAATACCGACCAGTGCCGAAACTTGATCTCGGCACTGCTCTAGCTGATTGATGACCCACAACTCCGGAGGTTCACCCACTCCGGGGAGAAGAGGAAGAAAGGGGGCCGTTTCGAGGAAGGCCCGGACAGCGACGAGGATGCTGACGTAAATCCTCGAAGGAAGAAGCCGCAGCAGGGCGGCCCTCACGAGATCATGACCTTCTGCCCCACCCATCCAAATGAGGCCGGCACCTCAAGGGGCAGAAAAAGAGACCGATCTCCTTGCACCGGGGCCGACCCGGTAAACTTCCCAACTCGGCGCGTCAACACCAGCCGGGGCGAGTCCCTCCTCTCCAGGAGGCAAACCAAGGCCTACACCCGACAGGCCTATCATGCCGGGTAGAGGGTAATGCATGCCCACAGCAGGCCGGCGCGAGAGCCGACCCCAAACACCATCACC